GTGTGCCTGTGTGTGCCTGTGTGTGCCTGTGTGTGCCTGTGTGTGCCCGTGTGTTTGTGTGTGTGTGTGTGTGTTCTCATGTGTGTGTGGGTGCTCACAGAAGTCCCACCCCTGGAGCAGTCTCAAAGACAAGCAGGAAAATACGAATTATACTTAAAACTCGTAAAAGCCTTCCATGCCCTGCGCGACGTTAACGACATGGCAAACATAATTAAACCATTAAAGAGTAAGAAACCGTACAAACAGATCCACTTACTTGCAAGCAAGCCGACTCCGCTTGCCAGGGATCCGACCCAGGCTGTTTTTCCTTTTCCTTCCCCGAAGGCATCCAGCCATTCTACATACAAGACCCCAACAGCTAACGGGGATCCATAGCAGAGGAACTGGGTGAAGAAGGAGACAACCACAATCACCCAGCCCCACCCCCCGTCAGGTGACTTCTGAAATTCCATTGTGAGATGAAGTCAATGCGGCGGCTTGCTGAAGGTTCTAGAAAGCAACCAGAAAAGAGGGGAAAAAAACCCTTTAGAAGGTGGGTACAGAGTTCAAGGTTAAAATACCTCTTCCTAGGATGGAGGGATGGCTCGGCCAATTAAGAACACTGGTTGTTCTTGCAGAAGACCCCAATTTGGTTGTTAGGACCCATGTTGGGTGGCTCACAGCTGCTGGTAACTGTTACAGCATTGTGAATTTTAACGCCCTCTTCTGGACTCCGCAGGCACTGCACTCACATGTCTCTCTCCCTCTCCCCTCTCCCCTTTCCCCTCCGTTCCTCTTCCCCCACAATTAGAATAAATCTTTAAAATAAATAAAAATTAAATATCTTTTCCCGACTTCTAGAAAATTCTCTAAACACATAACATGGATGACTACATATTATGACTGCCTTATCAAGTTTGCCTCTTCACTTTTGTTTTGTTCCAAGACACAGTTTCTCTATATAGCCCTGGCTGCCCTGGAACTCACTCTGTAGACCAGGCTGGCCTTGAACACAGAAATCTGCCTGCCTCTGCCTCCCATGTGCGCCACCACTGCCCGGCTGCCTCTTCACTGCATAAATCTGCATAAATCACACAACCACTGGAACATGTTTTAATTATAAGAAGGCAGAAATGGCTTCCCCAACCTTGATCTCCTTCACCTGGCTTTTTCCTTTACCCAATCTTAAGAAACCACTGATTTTAGCCTCTGTAGCCCTTTTATTTCTGAGACTGCCCAGGAAGTGGAGGATTAATAAGAAGAGTGTTCTTGGGTCAGAACAAAGAGGCTTGAATCCAGTCTTCTGGCTTGGAGACAGGTACCCTAACCTGCTAAGCCACCTCCTCAAAAGCAGTCAGTTACCCTGGAACCCACGCAGTGCAAGACAAGCTTTGACCTTCACACACACACACATACACACATACACACACACACACACACACATACACACACACACACACACGAATGCTGGGCTATGCGCATGCCTGCCCCATAATAAGTAAAATGGAATTTTTGAAGAGGAAGAGGCTTAGATACTTGGAAAGCATTTTTAGTCCCTCCCTGGGGCTGACCCATATGCCACCAGTACCGCCCACTCCTGATGGCCATAGGAAGTCCTGGTGACCTCCTGTGAGGTACTCTCGTCCCCAAAGGCTGTCAGCTGAAGGCCTTTTTCCAGCTGTGATTCCTGCAGCACCAGCAAGGATGCATTCATTGGCTCTGGGAGTCTGGAGGGAAGCGAATGGTACATGTCCACCTTTGGCAACCTGAGCACGCTCCGAGGGCTACCTCACTGTCCTGACTGGTTTTGTGTGTCGACTTGACACAGGCTGGAGTTATCACAGAGAAAGGAGCCTCCCTTGAGGAAATGCCTCCATGAGACCCAGCTGTAAGGCATTTTCTCAGTTAGTGATCAAGGGTGGGAGGGCCCATTGTGGGTGGTGCCATCTCTGGGCTGGTGGTCCTGGGTTCTATAAGAAAGCAAGCTGAGCAAGCCAGGAGAGGCAATTCAGTAAGTAACATCACTCCATGGGCCTCTGTATCAGCTCCTGTCTCCAGGTTCCCACCCTGTGTGAATTCCTGTCCTCACTTCCTTGGGTGATGAACAGCCATGTGGAAGTGTAAGCTGAATAAACCCTTTCCTCCCCACCTTGCTTCTTGGTCATGATGTTTTGTGCAGGTTAGAGAAATCCTGACTAAGACACTCACACTCATGTAAACAAAACCAAGCAATCATTCTTATATTTTGGGTTTGTTTGTTTGTTTGTTTGTTTGTTTTGACAGAAATCACCATTTGAACATTCTATTGTTTTATGTAACAGCCTTTGAGGTTTCACATGACTCTAGTCCCTTTTAAAATCAGTACACAGCAGCCCACCATGTGACTATCTGCTTACTCCTGCACTATTTATGTGCTGATTAAGAAAAAAAAATCTTTTGCAATGGTTCAAAATTGAAGAAAAAAAAAAAGAACCTTAGATGTTCATTCTCTTTTATGTCTGTCATTTTATTTTATTACTTTATTTTTTTATCATTTTTTCTCTGTATGCACACCTGCATACATGCCCACAGCACATGTGTGGACATCAGAGGGAGAATCTGTGGAAGTCATTTCTTTTCTTCCAAAGTGTGTGCAGGGAGTTGAACTCGGGTCATAAGCCTTGGCGACAAGCACCTTTGCCTGCTGAGCCATCTTGCTGGTCTCTCATTTATGTTTTGGAGACACAGACTCCCACTGACCTAGAGTGGATCACTTAAGCTAAGCTGGCTGGCTGGTGAGCCCCACAGATTGACCTATCTCCTCCCACCCTGCCCTAAGCACTGATATTATAAGCACGGTCCACCAACTTGCCTTATTTATGTGGGTGCTAGAATCGAATTCAGGTCTCTGTGATTCTTGGTCAAACACATTTCTCTCTCCCCATCTGTCTTCCCCAGCCTCTCTAAGGACCTGCACTGACGATTCCTGTTCAGAATCCCATTTAAGAAAAATACAGTCTTAAGTCCCCAAACCTGGCGCTAGTGCATCCAAACATCTTACAGGATGGACAGGCTCTGTAAAGACAAATGCCAATTGAGAGCCTATTTCATTTAAGTCCCCAAATTATAACACTTTGGGAAAGTGCAGGCTGACAGGCAGAACTGGGGGGTGGGGTGGGGAAATCTGGATTTTCAGGAAGGTAAGAGTAAAGACTGTTTGTCTCTTAAAACCTACAAAACTCTTTTTCGTCAGCGACTACTGGTCCACTTTGCCATGGGTGATATTTCAACACGCAGGACAGGAATAAGGTAATTTCTCACAGGAAGTGTCCAGAGCGGCAAATCTTTAGAGAAGGTAGTGCTAATTAAGTTATCAACTGTGGCTTGGTAGACAAGTTTTCGAGGTGTCGACTGATACCTGATCCCTGATCCGTCATCATCCCCCCAGTTTACATGAGTGTCATCCTGTCCGTCAACGGGACCAACGGGACAGAGATGGACAGAGATGTAATGATTTCCTTTGCTTTCCTTCATGGCTTAGTTGCTACCTCTTGCCTGCTGAGGTGCTAAAAACTCAACACATCAGAGTATCCGGTACAGCAGAGTCCAGAAACTAACGTAGGTGACTGGAAGGGAGACAGGCTAGACAATAGCTACCAAAATCCAGTTATGGCAGGGGTTCATCCTAGCATTGTTTAGCGCTGTAGGGTGACTACATTTAGGTACGTTTCAGTACGTATTTCAAGGCAACTGAAACAGGCATACAATGATAAATATCTGAACCAATAGAAATCGTTAACGGCCCTGATTTGATTTTTGACTATTACACTGTGCACACATGTATTTAACTATCACACCATACTCCACAAAGAATACTATGTACAAACACTATGTCAATTAAAAACAAGATTCAAATAAATGCTAACGTTAAGCATTTGGTGGAGACGGCTGCTCTATTCGTTAAAGTGCAAGTCAGGGTTGACATATTAGTATATAGGCCCAGAATAAGACACGTGGGTTTATACTGTCATGCCAAGCCCTCGCCAGGCCTGCTCAGGCACATAAGGTCTACGGCCTCTCTGGATGCACTGGTCTCATTTTGTCTGCTCACACGGGTTCTTCTCTTCGTCAGTGTCTGCCCTGAAGTTCAAGCTACAGCCAGGCCCTCTTGTTTATAAAATAGTTCATTGACACGAATCAAGGAGCACAGGCAAACGGGTCCAGTCCCAGAATCCATTTTCTGAAAACACTCTGCAGCTGGGTGGGGTGGCGCATACCTTTAATCCTAGTACTTGGGAGATAGAGCTAGGTGGAGTTTGAAGCCAGCATTGTTTATAGATAGATAGTCTAGCCAAGGCTACATAGTGAGACCCTGTCTTGATAAATATACATATATATGTGTGTGTGTGTGTATGTGTATATGTGTTTGTGTATGTGTGTATATGTATATGTATGTATATGTATAGTATATGTATATATATGTATGTGTATGTGTATATGTATAGTATATCTATAGTATATGTATATGTATAGTATATGTATAGTATATGTATAGTATGTGTATGTGTATGTGTATATGTATAGAGAGATGATAGATAGATAGATAGATAGATGACAGATAAAATAATTTTTTTTAAATGCAGTTCAGTTAAAGAAGTTCGTTGCACAATTCCCCTTGGAATCATTAGGGAAACCCATAATTCTGTTTTCTTCTCCTTCTTTGGACTCAGATGCATGCACTATAAAACAATCTAAACTGCTATTATGATTCAACTCACAAGAGTAAAATCTTTAACTTAATTCATTTAGCGGAAATTCATGGCGATCCCCAGATTGTTCTAAGTTTACCGAGGGACAGACACCACGATGTCACCCCTCAGATCCTAGCACTTGGGAGGAAGGGGTAGGCAGATCACTGTGAGTCCCTGGCCAGCTAGATGGACAGAGTAAAGTAAGGTCCTATCTCAAAAGAAGAAGGGGGAGGGGCGAGAGAGGGGGAGGGGAGAGGGGATCAGGGGGAGAGAGAGGGGGAAGGGGAGGAGACAGAGGGGGAAGAGGAAGGGGAGGGAGACAGGAGAGAGAAGGAAGGGGGAGGGGAGAAGGGAGAATGGGAGAACTTTTGGGCAAATCTTGTAGACAATGGAGAGTTCCAAGCATCTTAGAGCTGGCCTCCAAACACACCTTGACCAAGAGGACGCCAGTTTACTAAGTCACACTGGGATGGACTCCAGAACAGCAGCAAGGAGAGAGCTCAGACTTCTGGGTCCTGGAACTCAGCCATGCTCAATGTCACTGGAAGGAACAATTAACAGGACTCATTAGCGGCTGACAGGATCTACTGCAGGGTCATAAGCAAAGAATGCCCTTTGACCTTCAAGCTTGGTAGCTGTCTGAAGTTGAATCCGATGATCTGTCAATTTGAAACAGCCTGGAATTACCAGAGAGAGGAATGGAAGAGGGAGATACTACCCAGATCAAAGTGGCCCGTGGACAT